ACTTTTAATCTAGACAGACTATTCAAATAAAATGGTCCCATAAAAGAAGTACATTTCAGGCTATCTGAATAAATTGGAGGGGACTCAATCCGTTAAAAGGAAAAGCTCTTAAAAGCAAGTACAAAGGAAACATAATAAGACTGAATTGTAAGAAATATAGAGGCTCTTAACTGTGATGCAGTGTGGCAACTATATTGTGCAAAGTATTTTGAAGAAGATGGGTGTTATTAAGATCTCCTTTATTTTGGTCTTGACAATGCAAAGAGTAACTGAAAAGCCATGTTTAGACAAAAGGAAAAAAAAATGTTTTATTAAGTGTACCAAACAAGAGCTTAGACTTGATAAGTTAAAAGAGATACGTATAAGCTATCTCTTCTTAATAGGAAGTGTGACCTAATCAGTCAGGAAAATGTGGTCTTCCCAATTATCTTCAGGGATTGTCACTGATTGCCATAATGTGAAAGGTATTCAAAAAGGTGAAGAGCCTTTAAGATCTGGATAGCAACCACTAGTGGGTTGCATCCTTCTTTTCAAGTGATGAATCAGTAGCTTGTGCTCTGCATGTCCAGAAAGTGCTGTGCATCTCTGAGCTAATTTCCAAAGTAATTATCAAATAGGTGTACACCTATGCCCTCTATTAGCTAACATAGCCATTGGTTACCATGGAGATGGATGAAGACTAGAGGACAAACAATGCTGTCAAAGAAGTCTCCACGAGGGTTATGAAAAGTCCTCCTCCCGCTTGGGATGTTTGATCTCCCGACATTTCATATTTATATTTCTTTGTGTACATTTAATAGACAAGAGGGAGCTATATATATATATATTTTTTATTCTAAATGTTCAAACATATAAAATGACCAGTAAAAAAAAATTGTTAAATTCTTTCCACCTGCTTTTCATGTGAACCTTTTATTCATACCCTAAATATTCCCTCTTAGGCTTAAATAATAAATTAATAAATAAAAAACTGGTGTGAGGGAAGGTAGCAGCAGAATAATCACAACAACTTAATGGGCAAAGTATCAGCAACTGAAAATCCTAACTAAGCAAACAGAAGAGGGGACTGATTATCAAAAACAGTTTTTCATGGAATGAGTGTTGTAAATAAGAAAGTTCACTTAAATCCTATTTGCTGTGTATGAAAATTATGCTTGAATAAATAGAAGTTTTAATAGTAAATTGTTTCAATGAAAAAAATATATTAAATTCAGATTCAAAATGCAAATGCTAGTGGAAAGTTTATTGGTTTGTACAGCAATAACTGTACTTTACAGTAGCAGAGCATAGAAAAGTCTGAAAGAAAGAACAAAAACAATCTGTGCTGTGTTTAGGAGGGCTGTGAATAATGCATTTCAGAAATACAAGAGGTAGTAAAAATAATCATAACCTCAAAACACCCATACGCCCACAAAGACATAAAAAACACACATTTAAAAGAAATTTGCTGTGCTTGAGCAGTGGCTAGGTCATGTTTCACATGATACACCCTGCCTGCTGAGAATGTGTCCTCCTAAAGCAAAAAAACATTTTAGTTGAACTTTTCTTTTTTGTACATTTTCAGCTTCTTTAGGTCTGAATGCCATGATTTATGGTTTAAAATATAAAAGAAATGAATATTCCATCAGAGCGTTATTTTCAGAGTAGTAATTAAGCAAAGCTTTAACAGGTGGGAGGAGGAGGATGGCACTGGATTAAATTGGACAGCTATTTTTCAGCTCAAGTCCAGCTCATTCCCTCAGGAGACATGACAGTGAGCGGTATAGGCCTGCAGAGAGTGGACATTTTCTGCTGTGAAGCACTTTAACAGGCAGCTGTTTCAGAGGCAGGCAGCTTCATAATGGTTTTCTGAATGGAGCTCACGAGGGCAGGGTGGGATGCTGGAGCGCATCCTCACAAACAGACTGCATGGACGGTCAGTATATGCTAGACTGTGTCTGGGCTGTTTGTGTTTATGCTGCACTGTCAAGTTGACATCTAAGTAAAACTTCTATCTTGATACTGGCACTGAGATTTCATTTTTGTGTATGAAGCATGTTTTTTTTTTGGTTTATGCATAGATGTGTTGTGGCCAGGTAGCTCCTATCGCATTTTGTTTACATTCCCAGATCTTTCCAGCTATTTTTCTCGTTAACAAGGCTTATAAAAAGATCCAGCAAAAACATGAGATTGCTGTATATTTTAAAGGACAACCGGCCCTAAATCAAATAATTCAGCTAATAAATTGTATAGATACATATATCTTACACTGCTGCCTACATGTCCTGGGCAATTTTTTTTAATTTTACTGAAGATTTGTTGAAATTTTGCTGTCGTGTCTCAAACCATGTTTGGCTCCCTCCTCCAGTTAAAAACGGGTTAATGCATCTCATTTTTGCTGCAGGTTTAGCAGGGTGTGACCTCACTGAGGGAGAACTGATGTC